TCTTATAAAATAAAAAATAAAATAAAATTCATTCACTACTGTCTAGCATTAACTATGTGATACATGTAGAGCAATTCTTTTCGTTCAATAATTATACCCGATGCATTTTGAATGTACGTTAACATCATGGTAAATAATTCTTGGAAAAAACATCATTGGATAAACAGATGTGTTGTTGTTTCTGGTAAGTTACAATATAAACATTGTTTTTCTTCCATTGTTTTCCCTAGTCGTTCACGTGTATTTACTTCATAATTGGCAAGTAATATCCAAAATTATGTTACTGTTGTTGGTAATTTGCTCTTATGAATAATTTCAAAAAAAGCAGAATTACTTTTTAGATGTGGAACACGTTGACAATATATTGGTGGACGAAATACACAACGATTTATTAATTGCCAATAAGCAGACGGTTCACTATCATCAGTTGATAATTTACCACCTTGCTTAATCCAATGAACAGTACGGCAAGCAACATCACCGAAGAAATTCGTTTCATCATTAAAATGTGGTGTTAAATTTGTCCAAATCCACGGTGCATAAGTACGTAACTGAATACCTACATGTTGATATGCATAAAATTTCCATATTTTAGGTGTTGTACTAATTATTTTTAAACCACATTTAATACGATAAGAAGCAATCATTGAGTTTAAATGTAACAAAGCAAAACCACCATTACCTTTCTTACCAACGCAAGTATAAAAATTGATTGATTGATGTTTGTTGTTCCAAAAAAATTTATTAATATCTTTTTGTAGATTTTCAATTGTTTTCTTTGGCAATGGCATTAATGAAAAACAATACACAAGTCGGCTTAATATAAACGATTTCAATACTGTGGCACGTTCAAATAATGATAATTTTATTGTCGCCCACATTCCCATCTGCTGCTTTACGTTTAAAATCATTTTATCTAATTCAATGCTTGGCATTTTACCTTTCGTATCAATTGGAACACCTAAGAAGTTGCAATATTCACGTTCTATTTTAGATTTAAAATTTGGTGGATCGAGCCAATCACTAATCCAAAATATTATTGTTTTATCTTTATTAGTTTTACCACCGGATGCATTATTATATAATTCAAACATGGCTTGAGTTTCACGTTCATCATTTACATTAAATGCAATGGTACAAACATCATCTGCGTAAGCTGATAATTTAATATTAACATTCACATTATCTTTATTAAGAATAGATCTTACGACCGATGGAAATTGACTACCCGGAGGTAGAACACCTGGTATACGAGCATTTCGTCTTATATTATGCAGTAATGGTTCGATGCATAACACAAACAAACCACCCGATAATGGACAACCTTGTCGTATACCTGATCTAAATGATATTGGATCAGTAATCGAATTATTAATTTTAATTTAAAAAGTTGCATTCAAATACAATAACTTGATCCAATTTATAAAATTAGAACCAAAGCCTAAACGTTTCAATGTTTCTAAAAGATAAACATGATTTATTCGATCAAAGGCTTTTTCCTGGTCCCAATGTATAATAGCAATAGGATCTCGATGTCTTGAATAGTATTCGATAATTGATCTAATAATATGTGCATTATCATGGATTGTTCTACCTGGTATTCCATATGATTGATCAAGATGAATAATCTGATCTAGTACTTTACGTAATCGTATACTTAATACTTTTGATAGAATTTTATAGTCAATATTCATTAATGACAATGGCCTGTAATTCTTCAATGATCCATTGTTATTGTCATCCTTTTTCAGTAATGTACTTAGAGCATTTAAAAAGCCTTCGTGAAAATGTCCTTTTAATTTAGCAGTGTTTATCATGCGAACATAATATTCACCAATTATAGGAAAAATATTTTTCCATACCTCAACTGTAATACCATCTGTACCAGGAGATCGACCCATTGCCATAGACTTTAAAGCCTCATTACATTCTGTAAGTGTAATATCACATTCAAGTTTATCACTATCAATTTTGTTTAAGGATGGAATATCATCAAATAATTCGTTCCAACAACTTCTATCAATTGGATTGGTATCGTACAATTGTTCGTAGAAGTTTGTTGCTGTCTCAATCATATCTATGTTGGAATCGACACGACCTTTCACTGGATGATCAAGAAAGATAATTCTAGATTTATTTGATTTTGCGTGAGGAATTCGTGCCTTCGCCAAAATACTAAGTGATGTTACGTCTTGTTCTTGTTGATCGAGTACGTTATTAGAAATTTTTTCTTCTAAAATTTTATAAATTTCTTTACGGATAATATCTAATTGGATCATATCATTTTCGGTTGGATTTGTTGCACGAAATCGATATTCGCATTGTAATTGTCGTAATTCATATCGACATTCATCATTATACTACCTTTCCTCCTCTTGTAAGAGAAAAATTAGGCTTGTCTTAAAATCATTCCACCATTCAGTTGAATCGAAATCCGCTGTTTTAAGAAATACATTCCAGATTAATTGAAATTGTTCCGTAAATGTATTTCTTGTTATCATCATTGAATTACATATCCATCGATGAAATTCTTTATCATTGTTTGATGGAATATTTAATTTAAGAACAATCGAATCATGATCAGATAAACCAACGGGTAAATAATAAATTTCGGTTGTATTTTTTTTTGATAATTTTAGATCCGAAAAATAGATCAATTCGACTATGTATGGTTCTTGAATCGTTATGATATGAATATGTTATTTTACGTGGATGTTTTGAACGAAATATTTCATCGAGAAGAAGTGGATTAATCATATTTTGTAGTAACAATGGGTAAGATTGATTATCAGTTAAAATCCCATGTTGCAATCTATCTTGGATATTATCGGGTACGCAATTAAAATCGCCACCTACAATAAGCCATTTAGTTGACGGGATATAGACTCGTATGTCTTTAAAAAAAGAACATCTTTCCGATAGTTGAGCAGGTGCAAATACACTGGCAATAACAATTGGAATTTTTTTCATATATAATTTTGATGTAAGCAATTCGACCATCTGAATCAGTACCAGTATCAATAACATTGTACTTCTTTTTAATCATTACTAGTGTGCCACCAGCTGCCCACGTACCTAAACTACAAGTTATATGATACTCTGAAAATGCCTTTCTAAATATTTCAAGATGTTTTAATTTAGTCATATGTAATTCTTGTAATAATATCACATCATGTTGAGTTTCATTCAACCAAATTCTTAATAATTTATGTTTATTGCTTGATGTTAACCCCCTAATATTATACGAAATAATAACAAGCATGATAATAACGTAATGAATGAATTAAATGTTTTTTGTTTCTTTTAGATTTAATTTTATATTATATATTACTAATATATAATAATTATTTATATTTCACCATCTTCTCTCATTCTATCTGGAAGAGAGGATGGATGGTGTTCTGTTTTCTTATCTTTAACTATTGTATGATGATCATCATGAAATGGACGTTTCAATACATTACGTCCTTCTTTATACATTTTATATGATTCAGCATTTAATATGTTTATAGGTCCTTAAATCATCGTATTATCATTAGATAAAACTACAGGATCTATTATTGTTGTTGTTCGATTTTGTTATTGACTTAATTGTTGTTGTCGTTTTTCATATGATATAGTTCTTTTAGCAAGTAAATTCGGTTCATCACAATCATTCATTGTTATTAATTGTGGACCACCTAAATCAAAATGATTATCTACGAAAGTTGGTGTCGAATTTGTTGAGCTATTTTCATCATCGGGTATTGGTGTTGAATGATGAACAATACCATTATGATTAAAAATGCAATCTTTTTGTACATGTCCAGGTTGTTTACATCGATAGCATGTTTTTAATTGTGTTTTATTCACAACTGGTGTTTCTTTAGCAACTTGAACATCAATTCTTGGTGTTATCAAAGGTGTTGTTGATGTACTTGCTACATTAGCATATGTTCGCTGTTTGTTACAAGCAGGATCATCATGACCAATTTCATAACAAATCTGACATTTTAACTTGTTACATTCGGATTTGACATGACCAGATTCTTTGCATCTGTAACATACTTTAAGTCGACCTTCTAATAATACAGGAACACTAATACCAACTATTTTAATCGATAGTGGAACTTTTTGTTCAGCATCATGTGATGCAAATTTTATGCGTACACGACGAACAAATGTTTTAATCAAGGGGGAAAAAGCGGATTTGGGATTTTGGGATTTTCTTCGGATCCCGGGATTTTTTTGGGATCCCCGGATTTTTTTGGGATCCCCGGATTTTCTTGGGATCCCCCGGATTTTTTTGGGATCCCCTGGATTTTTTTGGGATCCCCTCGATTTTTTTGGGATTCCCTGGATTTTCACCGTACCTTTAACATTATAATGTTTCTAATTGTACTTCAACACCCTCATCTTAGTCTTAGAGACTTAGATTAATCGAGATTGTCGCTATGCCAGTGAGTTAGAAATGTAATATTAGACTAAACGAAAAAAAAATCCACCATCGTCAGAAGACTAGACACATCATCGGCTTAGATGGGTATCAAGTCGACTGGGACAGAAGAGCAGTTTAGTTTTTAATTGTTTTATTAAAGAAGAAAAGAGAAGAAAATAACAAAAAACAACAAAAAAAAACTAGAAGAAATAACAAAAATGTATCTTACCAAATTAACCTAATGTACCTTATCTGTAGATTTATAGTTATCTAGCGACTCCCCTGTTGCACTCGTTTCAGTCGATCAGCTGATAGATTAGCCTTGTTGTCTGTTAAAAGCCAACAAGCTGTCTGCTTATGAATATATTTTTTTTTGTTATCAATTTCGACACAAAAGTACGAGTTAGTTAGTGATGATGAGATCGTATCAGTGACTCTCATTCCATTAAACTGATGTTTACCACTTGATGAAATACAAGGTAAGTCATTTTCATCTTCAGACGAGTCCTCCTCTGGCTTCGATGAAGAATTAACATTAGTTGCAACTTCCTCGTCTGATTCATCATTAGAAGAATAGATTTCACCTTCATCATAAGTCACTTTTTTAAATTTTTTTTCAAATTGAGTTCGTACATATGAACTCACTTCATTTATCTTTGTTTTCTTTTTCTTTTCTAAAGCAATATTGATATCAAGCTCTGAAAGAAGTTTATACGCATCATTATACGCTTGATGAATAATCTTTTTTATAGTATCATTTCTAGGAAGATCAATAGTTGTATTAGAGACCGATTTTTTTAAAGCAGCAACTTTTCTGCGTCTTTTATGATGCTTCGGAAACTGTAATGGACAGCCCAGCTGACCAGATTCACTCTGGTTCTCTAGGTCCGTTAAAACGGAGAGCTTACCAGCTCGTTTCAGAAATTGATCAGTTGTAAAATTTACCACTGATGAGAAAGCTCCTGACATTGAGCTAGTAAGTCGAAAAGTAGCTTCACATGGTTGTGAACTATAATTCTATA